GTCATTGATCTGGTCCTCTCCTCTCCTCTCCCAAACACACCCAAGTCAAGGCAAAGCATCCCATCTGCCCAGTTATCTACAGAACCTTTCCTTACTAGCCAATTTAGGATACAATGACTCTCTAACTCACCCCAAGTTTTTCCCAGTTAAGATTAAATGTTTGCACAAAGAAAATAAAGATTTATCTTGCTGGAATCCATTTCTTAAATGAAATATCACTTGGGAGGCCGTGTTTTGACAAACAAGCTTCTAGAGATGGTCCACATTCCTTTTTTGCCAGGAGCTTCCTAGAGCTTCCTAGTTTTATTTCTTTTCCTCAGGAACACTCATCTTTGTGAGTTCAAATCTGGCTTCAGATACTAACTAGCTGTGTGACCCTGGGCCAGTCACTTCACCTGTTTGCCTCAGTTTCCTCCTCTATAAAATGAGCTGGAGAAGCAAATGGCAAACCACTCCAGGATCTCTGCCAAGAAAACCCCACAAAGGGTAGGACACGACTGAAATTACTGAACAACAAAACCTCAAGACCTTGGAGCAATCGTCTTTCCCTGGGCATGTAAAGGGAAGATGAATCCAGCCTCCACTGGGGTATTCCTGGTGCTGCAGGTCTGTCCAGGCCCCTGCTGTGCCAGCTGGCTTCGGGGGCACACTGCTGTCAGAGTCCGGGTGTGTCTTCTAGGCCGGCTTCTGTGCCAAGGCACTGGTCCTCCGCAGGGGAAGGCCGTACCTCCCAGAGCTGCTCTCCAGTACAGGGTCAGTTAGTTTTGTGTTTCTCCAGTGTGCTTGGGCTGGGCACGAGGAAGTTAATCTGCTTGCTCATTTCAGAGATAAAAAATCAACTCTTTTCTCTATCAAGGGGGGGAAAAAAACCCCAAAGAAAGGGAAATGTTTTCAACAACTTTTTCTTAAAAGCCTGCTCAATGGACTTTTAGACATGATCTCCATCTTACTTCGGGCACAGGTTGTGTGATGCTGGGCAAATCCCTTAATTTGTCAGTGTCTTGACAGCACCTGACAACTAGAAACTGCTGAATCCGTCTGGGCTGCATTGACAGGGTTGAAGGGGTTCTCACTAGAAGTGCCTGGTAACAGTGAAATGATAGTTTCAGTCCAAATGGGGAGGTCTTCCATTTAAAATTTCAGATCTTTTCTAAAAATCCAGAAGTACAGCGACCCCTAGCTACTTCCAGTCTCTTAAAACCTGCAAACAGATTAATGACACCTGAATTCTGCCTAGAAAGACCAAACCCTTCTAATATAACTAAAATAATGCCAGAGGCAATTGTGACTCACAAAACCTCTGGATTAACTTCATCTTTTTACTCCGACCCCAAATGTTCAGTCCTTCCTAGTGGAAATGTCATTGTTCCACCCCACCCCACACCCCCTTGCCTAGGGCAGGACATGGGCTCCCAGCTTTCCACTAAGCATGGGGAGGAGCATGCCCTCCTCCCATTCCTTCCCTGCAGGCAACCGACCTTCCCACCATTCCAACCCTCTGGGCAGCTCAGCAAAGCCAGAAGGAAGAGAGCCAGGCAGTGGCAGGTGGTACCTTTATACACCCCATAGTATAAAACCCTGAGTCTCCACGGCCAGAAGCGGGCAGGGAGTATCTCTGGATATGCTTGCAGGACTGGTCCCTATGGGCCAATTACATATCAATTATAGGACATCTAATTGTAGCGGTGGAAAAGAATTTACTGAAACAGATGTGAAGTAAATTCAGGAACACGCATTAACAGCAGGCCTCTAAGTCAGCATCTGGGCATGGAAGCAAACTGCCTCCTGCCCACCGGGCACTGAAAGGGAATTCATGCAGACAGTAGAACAACAGTAAAGTTAAAAAGGTAACAACCAAGAAATGCTATCTTACTCTAGATAAGAGACCTAGATCAGGAAACAACCTCAGAGGCCATCTACCTCAACGCCCCCGTTTTAAGGAGGAGCTAAGTGAGGCCCATGAAGACTGTGTGGTCAGCCCAAGGTCTCCCAGGTGGTGGGGGCAGAGACAGGGCATAAAGCCAATGTACTGCCATTATAACGTGGGTGTCTGCCTTGTGATCTGTAAGAGATGTCATGGCAACAAGACATGTCCAAAAGGAGAAGGATTCAACAACCACCCCCTGCCAACACCTTTCATCCATTTTTTTTTTGGGTAGGCGATGGGATTAAGTGACTTGCCCAGGGTCACAAAGCTAGTAAGTGTTATGGGTCTGATGCTGGATTTGAACTCAGGTCCCCCTGAATCCAGGGCTGGTGCTCTATCCACCTAGCTGCCCCCCTTTCATCCATTCATGTTGTGCATGCAGACATGCGCGTACACACTACTCCCTGGATCTCGACTAGGTTCCTCCAGTTGACAAGAAGGCCCCCAAAACACCGAAGGCAGACCTTTGTGAAAAGAGAGGGAATAAAGGTATCTTCTCATGCATTGCTTGGCTTCCATATAGGAGAACTCCACCCTTCTTAATCTAAACTACAGGATGCAAGGAACCGCATAAAACTCTCTCTTTACAAACGGTTCCTTGCAGGGGTTGTTGCCAAGGTCCAGCTCACACCTGGCCTGTTGCAGTCGGTCGCCTCCCAACCGGTTTTCCTGCTTCCAGGCTCGTCCCTCTCCAGCCCTGCCTCCACCTCCCTGCCTGTGTCACTCACGATTCAGAAAGCCCTTGTGGCTTACTGCTCGCTCTACGATAAAAGACATTTCTGCTTCTCACTTAAAGCCCTTCTTAACGCTGGTTGTGGTTCACCTTTCCGGGTTTACTGCGCACCATGGCCTGTCCTGAACTCTACCTTCCAGCCCAGCCTTCTAAATGACGAGCCTCCTAACTAACATTTGGTATCCCATCTCCCTTGTCCATCACTTTTGGGAAGGTTGTCCTCCATTCCTGGAATACATTCCCTCCTCATTTCTGGCTTGTGGAAACCCCAGCTGGCTTAAGTCTTAGGTTGAAAGTCTACATGAGGCCTTTCTAGTGTTTATTTAGCACGGCTCTTAGAACGCAGTAGGTGCATAATAAATGTTTATCGATTGAATGTAGGAGAGAGGCAGCTAGGTGGCACCATAGTACACAGAGCTCTGTGTCTGGCATCAGGAAGACCTGAGTTAAAATACAGCCTCAGACACTTACTAGCTAAGTGACCCTAGGCAAGTCACTTAACCACGGCCTGTCTCCGTTTCCTCAAATGAAAAAGGGGAAAATAGCATCTTCCTCCTCCTGCTGTTGAGAGGATCAGATGAGATAATATTTGTAAAGTGCTTAGCACAGTGCCTGGCACAAAGTAGGTGCTTAAGAAATGCTTGTTTCGCTAGGGAAAAAAATCTTTGCCACAAGTTTTCCCCATTAGAATGAGAACTCCTGAGTGCAGGACCTGTTTCAGTTCTTGTCTTTATACCCTAGTGTTGAAGCACAGTACCTACCACATGGGAGGTATTGCTTAATGAAGGCTTGTGAAATGTGTGAACACCATGGTCCTTTTTGTGATGGAGAACTTTGCTAAAGAAGAGACATTCTCATGGTAGCCCCAGAAGCTAAGATGAGCTAGGTTTCTATTACCAGAGACTCAGTTGAGGGAGCGGACGATTCTGTTGTACTGGGCCCTGATCAGACCACACTGAGAATATTGTGTTAAGTCCTGGGTGCCACATTTTAGGACAGACACTGAAGGACAACCAGGATGGCACAAAGTCAGGGGACCCTGGCACGCGAGGGCCAGTGGAATGAATTAGGGGTGTTTGGCCTGGAGAAGGGAAGATTTGGGAGTCACTGTTATCTTTAAGTTTTTGAAGATCTTTCATTTGCAAAAAAGGATTTGATTTGCTTTGCTTAACCTCCAAGGGCAAAAGTAGATGTGTTGGGTTGAATTTAGAGACACAGATTTCATCTGACTTAAGGAAAATCTCCCTAAAAGCTGGATCTATTCACAAGTACAATGAGCCACTTTAGTTAAGTTGTGGGTTCAAGAGGAAGAGTCCCTGGGGCCCTCAAGTAAGGGTCAGATGATCTTCGAAAAGTATCCTGTAGCAGATATTCCTCCAAACACTGAGTTCTCCAACCTTCACTTTAACAGGACATTGGGGCAAAAACAGGACATAGGTACCTCTGCCAAGGCCTGGGGCCTGCCCTGAGTCCACTTTCCAACAGATGAGAGCATAGGCAAATTAGGAAGCATGTGGCATTTTACCTGTCACATTTATGGATAAGGGAAACAAATAAGAAACAGAGAGCCTTATGGGATATAAAATGAATAATTTTGATTACATCAAATTAAAAAGGTTTTGTTTGAACAAAACCAATACACGCAAAATTAGAAGGGAAACAGGAAACTGGGGGTAAATTTACAGCAATTATCTCTGATAAAGTTCTCATTTCTCAAATATATAGAGAGCTGAGTCAAATTATAAGAATGTGAGTCATTTCCCAATTGATAAATGGTCAAAGGACCAATAGGTAGTTTTCAGAAGAAGAAACCAAAGCCACCTATAGTCATATAAAAAAGCTCAAAATCACTATTGATTAGAGAAATGCAAATTAAAACAACTCTCTGGGGGGTTGGCTAATATGACAGAAAAGGAAAATGACCAATGTTGGAGGGGATGTGGAAGAACTGGAACACTAATGCATTGTTGGTGGAGTTGTAAACTGATCTAACCATTCTGGACAACAATTTGGAATTATGCCCAAAGGGCTGTAAATTTGTGTGTGCCCTTTGACCCAGAAATGCAACTACTAATTCTGTACCCCAAAGATGGGAGAAAAAGGAAAAGGACTTATATGTGCAAAGATATTTATAGCAGCTCTTTTTGTGGTGCAAACAACTGCAAATTGAGGGCATGACCATCACTTGGGGAATGGCTGAACAAGTTGTAGTACCTGCTTGTGATGGAATACCATTGTGCTATAAGAAATGAAGAGCACAGGGCAGTAGGTGGCGCAGTGGATGGAGTAGTAGCCCTGGAGTCAAGAGGATCTCAGTTCAAATCTGGCCTCAGACACTGACTAGCTGTGTGACCCTGGGCAAGTCACTTAACCCCAATTGCCTAAGAAAGAAAAGAAAAGAAAGAAAAAAAAAAGAAATGATGAGCAGGATGCTTTCAGAAAAACCTGGAAAGATTTACATGAACTGATACAAAGTGAATTGAGCAGAACTAAGAGAGCATCGTACACAGCAACAATAATACTGTACAATGATCAATTGTGAATAACTTAGCTATTCTAAGCAATACACTGATCCAAGACAATTCTGAACAACTTATAATGAAAAATGCTGTCCACCTCCAGAGAAAGAACTGATAGCATCTGAATACAGATTGAAACATAACTTTTAAATTTTCTTTATTATTCTTGGGGGTTTTTTTGGTCTACATTTTCTTTTGCAACATGGCTAACATGGAAATATGTTTTGTGTGACTTCAATATGTATAATCTATATCAAATTGCTTGTCTTCTCAAGGAGGGAGATGGGGAAGGAGGAAGATAATTTGGAACTCAAAATTTAAAAAAAAAGAATGTCAAATTTTTTTACATGTAATTGAGAAAATAAAAGTTAAATGCAAAACAACAATAAACAGATAAGGGCAGAGGAGGGAGATGAATGGATAGAAAACCAGAGGTCCTTTTGCAGAATCTGGTGGGAGGAGAAACATGTTCTGTCTTTCTGACATTGGACTTTCCCATTGAAACTTCCCACATATGGTTAGGTTCAGCTGGATTCCATACAACTTTCAACTTCAGGAGCATTATCTATTCAATGAACTTTTGGACTCTGGCCTGGGAACCCAACCACCAAGGACACAGTATGTGCTCTGGGGAAAAGAGCACTGAGCTACATACAAGTGCACTTCCAGAGCGTGACTCATTAGCGCATTGTGGATTGTCTATTGTATGTTATGAATTTTGAAATGGTCATGAGTATTCATTTTTATTTTAGCAACGCTCACCCACTGAAACGGAGAAACCATAATTAGTAGTGTGGCACTGCGGCGGCCTTGGAAAGGGAGCAGGCTCTCTGGCCATGCCTGCCCATTGAGCAAATAGTAATAATGATGAAATGAGTAATGACACCAGTACTGACCCCTGGCTCACCATTTTCTAAAAAAATAGCAGCCATCAGCAATGGCCTTAAAGCTTTAGATAAGGTGTTATCCTTGGCAGGACACTGTCTTCCTAGCAGGGCCCCAAGCAAAATTGTAAAACAAACTTTTTCTTAGAACCTGGCACATTCCCCAATTGATAAATGGTCAAAGGATATGAACAGACAGTTCTCAGATGAAGAAATTAAAGCCATCTATAGTCATATGAAAAAATGCTCTAAATCGTTATTGATTAGAGAAATGCAAATCAAAACAACTCTGAGGTACCACATCACACCTATCAGATTGGCCAACATGACAAAACAGGAAAATGATAAATGTTGGAGAGGATGTGGGAAAATTGGAACGCTAATACATTGTTGGTGGAGTTGTGAAATGATCCAACCATTTTGAAGAACAATTTGGAACTATGCCCAAAGGGCTACAAAAATGTGCATACCCTTTGATCCAGCAATAGCACTTCTAGGGCTATATCCCAAAGAGATCAAACAAATGGGAAAAGGACCCACATGTACAAAAATATTCATAGCAGCTCTTTTTGTGGTGGCAAAGAATTGGAAATTGAGAGGATGCCCATCAAGTGGGGAACGGCTGAGCAAGTTGTGGTATATGAATGTAATGGAATACTATTGTGCTAGAAGAAATGATGAACAGGCTGACTTCAGAAAAACCTGGAAAGACTTATGTGATCTGATGCTGAGTGAAGTGAGCAGAACCAAGAGGACTTTGTACACAATAACAGCCACCTTATGCAATGAACCTTTCTCAGCATTATGAGTATCTAAGACATCTCCAGAGGCCTTGGGATGGAAAACGCTGTTCACATCCAAAGAAAGAACTATGGAAGTTGAATCACTATCACTTATTTTTACCTTCTGTTGAGTTTTGTTTCATCTTTCTGATGGTTCTTCCTATTGGTTTTAATTTTTACTTACAACTTCACTAATGTGAAAATATGTTTAATGGGTATGTAAATGTATAGCCTCTATCAGATTGTGTGCTGTCTTGGGGAGGGTGGGGGGAGGAAAAGGGAGAAAAGTTTTCAACTCAAAAGCATATGGAAAAAATAAAAAAATTTAAATAAAAAAAAAGAACCTGGCACGCCCCTTTCTGTATTCTTCCTCTTCTTCTTCCCCTGAATACATCCTCCTGGCTGAATGCCTCCAAACAGTCTGCCCTTTGACTATCCGAAGCTCTGTAAGGATCTGCCTTTGCCACAATTGTAGGAGGCTTTCAAATTCCTTCTTCCTGTGTTCCCCAACCTCAATAAAATTTTTCTTTGCTTCAATATCAGTATCCAGAGAATTCTGCTAGGGAGAAAGTAAGCATAAGAGTCTGTTATAGTAATTCATGCTAAAGTACGAATGACTGATTGGCAGACAATGTATTTTTTAAGGTAGTATGGCATAGGTGGAGTTCTGGGTTTACAGTTAGAAAGATGTGAGGTTTGATATCTCCTTAATCACTAGCTTTGTGCTCTTGGGCAAGTCACTTATTTTGTCTAATCCTCCATTTCCTTAAATGTAAAATAGGCATTCATTCATTCATTCAACACATACTCATTAAATAATATTAATGCCTGCACAGAGCAGGCATTATTTTAGACATTTGGAATTTGGTCCAGCAGATACTGTGAGATCAGCACAGCTGTGCTCCCAACAGAGATCAGAGAAGCCTGGGACAGAGCTAAAGGCGGGGAGCAATCCATCTAGCAGGGAGAAGACGAAGAGAAGGCAGCTCAGTGAGAGCTCCAGCAGATCAGTGGCTGATCCTGTGAAATCAGAGGTTTGAGAGCCCTCCACGTGCCCACATGTTCCCTCCTTCAGTGTCGGTCCCTAATGCAGGACACTGACCTATGTCTGCTCTTTCCACTAATAAAATATACATATATGAGGAAGTATGTCTAGGTATTTGGAAGGGAAGGAAGATATTTCCATGCTACCTTTCTTATACTATTTCATTAAATGCCTTTGCTTTGAATTAATTGTGTCTTCTGGCTGACTAGATAAAAATTAGCAAGTACTTTGTTGGGGGGGGTCATGAGTTAGGATTTGAGGGAGATGCGACCCACAGAGTACCTTGAACTTGGGGTAACTATTCTGGGGACTCCATGTGCAAGAGATGAGTGCCTCAGCAAAACTAAGCAACATAGTGACAATGTAAGCAATTTGGAACCTGTAGTCCTCCCCCTTTCCACCGAAATGAGGGGGTTGCTCTATAATTTACCTCTTCTCTGGAGGCAAGAGCAGTCATTGCAGGTTCAGAAACTGCCAACTTCATTTGAGCTCAGCTTACACCTTTGACTCTACAATTCAGTGGGAAAGAAAAAAAGGTACTTAGAAATAGCTACGAGAGAGAGTATAATGGGAAAATGCTATGAGACGTAAATGTTGGGAGAGTCCAGAGAAGGGGAAGGTTATTTCTGAATGGTGGAGGGAAGGGGAAGAAGGAGGAAAGGGAGGGAGGAGGGGACCAAGGAATTCTGTATAGAGGCAATGGCTTTGGAGCCGGACCTTGAGATATGTGGGATAATAATAACTACTCATAATAATAGGTAGCATTTCAGAGTTTGCTAAGCATACTGCCTACCTCATCTCATTTGTTGCACCCCATAATAGGAATTCAACAAATGTTGGCCATACCCTAAAAGCATAAACTCGATACTTTGTTTCTGTCTGAAACACTAAGAAAAGCAATTGTCATTTCTCCATATGCCCTATTCCAGTTTTGTAAACTCTTGCCACCCAAAATTAGTAGCAAATGTCTAGTATAGTGAATGACAGACCATGTGGCAGAGGGGACAGTGAATTTGGAGTCAATTCCTGCTCTGCAGCCTGTGTGACCTTGTCTGCTTCTCTTCCTCTCTCTTGCCTTCAGTTTCCTCATCTGGAAAAAAAAAAAGGAGGTTGGATCAGATGACCTCTAATTTCCATTCTAGTGCTAAATCTGTTTATCTATCTATAATCCATATAATATATATCCAATGATACACATAATCCATCATTTATCTGGAGCATTATTCTGGACTTTTTAATTAATTATTTTTAGTTTTCAATGTTCACTTCCACAAGATTTTGAGTTCCAAATTTTCTCCCTCTCTCTCCCCTCCCCCCACCCCAAGAAGGTATGCATTCTGAATGCCCCTTCTCCCAATCTGCCCTCCCTTCTATCATTCCCCTCCTCAATTCTGGACTTTTTAAAAGGGCATAAAATGTCAGTTTTAAGGATGAGGAAAGGAGGTGGCAAAATAAAATTTAATGTGGGTTTATAATACCACACCCTGCCCTATCCTGCCCTGGGCAGGCCCCTCCCCCCCACCTGTGATGCATGAAACCTTGGCATCCCCTGCCTCCACTTGTTCTGGATCTTTCCAGCAAGGACCCTCTACCGCATTTTTGCAGCCTTGCCTTCTCCTGGCCATGGTGTGTGGGGGCGGGGCTGACATATGGGGGTGGGAGTGGGGAAATGGCAAAAGGTTTCCCCCCTCCCTCTGTTCTCTGAAGACAGGCCAGCAATTTCTTAAGTCTTTTTCCAAGGTGTTTATTATAAAGCAATTCAGGGGAAATGTACAGTGAAAATTGCAAATAATAGGTAAAATGGAGCAAAAGCTGAAAGATACAAATTCCTTATGACCTAGTTGATATCTTGAGTGTGGCGGGCAGGTAGGTGGAGCACCAGCTGTGGAGTCAGGAGGACCTGAGTTCAAATGTGACCTTGGACACATAACACTCACTAGCGGTGTGACCCTGGGCAAGTCGCTTAACCCCATTGCCTAGCAAAAACCAAAAAAAAAAAAAAGAAAGAAAGAATCTTGTGCAGACACCACATCGATTGGTACCTTTCTAGGACTGGCTGTTCTATCTCCCATGCTCCCCCCATCCCCTGATCTACAAGTCCAGGAGGAGGAAGAAGAGGAGGTAGCATCCTCTTACCCTCCACAGCCTCTTTCAGATCCTTCCTCTTTCCCCATCACTGAGCCTTGAAAAGTTCTTGCCTCCATTTGTGACCTTCCAGGTCGCCTTCCTTCCTGCCCCCCCCTCTCCCCCCCATCCCCCAGTGAAGTACCTGGTTCTCAGTCTTGTTTTCTCCTCATCTCTCCTGCAGGCATCATGGTCTTAGCCTCCTCTGTTTCCATAATTCTGTTTTAGCCCATCTCCACTGTGTATAAGAAAGTCAGATCTTCACCTCTCCTCTGGCAACTGAATTTGTCCCAGGGGCCAGACTTCCAAGTTAAATCCCTGGGGTTGGAAGATTGATCCAAGAGGTGTCAAAGAAATCCCAAATCAGAGAGTGAAGGTATAAGGAGACAGAAGAGTAAATCTAGATTACGTACTTGGAGTATTATGTCAGGGGTTTACCGAGTATCCCCCATGTGGCAGATAGAAGCTCCTGGAAGATTTTTGTCCTTATGTCCCCAGCACCCAGCCCAGTCCACAGCACCATCACAGGCACCTGATAAATAGTTCTTGAATTGAATTAGACTGAATCTAAATGACATGGTGGGATTGTCAACTGAAATATTGGAATGCTACTGCCTCCCTATCAGAATAAGAAGAATCCTTGCTGAAACAGAGACTAATTAGGAGCCAGGGAAGGAAGAATGACTGGGAGATGCAATGTGCCTGTGTTGTAAAGTGAGCTAAAGAGGGCGAAGAGAAAGCAGAGGAATGGCCTGTTGACAGCATGACTTTGGACAACAAGCCATGGCAATGGAAGACTGAGTTCTCCTGGTTCCCTCTTACTATCTCAGTCTCTGGGGAGAGTGAGAACAAACTTTGCCCCCCTCTTAATAGTAGTTTTTCTTTCCAATTACATATAAGGATAGTTTTCAACATTCATTTTTGTAAAATTTAGAGTTCCAGATTTTTCTCTCCCCCCTCCCACCTCCCCAAGACAGCAAATAATCTGATAATAGCTTCTACCTGTACAACCAATCATGTTAAATGTATTTCCACATTAGTCATGCTGTGAAAGAAGAATCAGAACAAAAGGGAAAGACCATGAGAAAGCAAAAAACAACAAAAAAGGGAAAATAGCCAGCTTCGCTCTACATTCAGACTCCATAGTTCTTTCTCTGGAGGTGGATAGCATTTTCCATCACGAGTCTTTTGGAAAAGTCTAGGATGACTGTATTTGAGCTCAAACTTAAACACAAACATTTCCATCTCTAAGTTAACTCCTAGGCATGGTGTAGACACTGGAATTGCTCCTTTGCTATAGGACACAATGTCTCAGCTGCCAAACCGATTCACTGCTGGGCTGGATTTTGCAGACTACTCACCCCTCTGTTTGGCTGCTTCTGTAAACTCTGGTCTGGACTCTAGTTCCAGGACTTCTCAGGCTTCTTTTGACCTTTGGAAGCTCAGAAGGTCATAGCTTTGATCACTGCATCCATGTCCCACTCTCATTCACTTAGTAACAGGAAGGAATGAAACACAACAGTAATGCTAGCCAAACCATGGCATCCTGTTGACCTGAGTGGGGAGAGTCAGACATTGCTGCTCTCTCTCCCCGCCTTGCAAGCTTAAAGTAAGCTGTTCTTGAAGCTATCACCCCCAAGAAAGCAAGGGATGGACCTGGCCAGTCAGACCCTTTGTTGTCTGCCTGCTCAGCTTTGTCCCATCATCCATTTTAAAGGCTTTTCCTTACCAACACAGTAATGGGACGACGAGCCATCACAGAGTTCTGAAAGGGGAAAGGCCACCCCAAGTCACGTCATCATACATGTCTAGAAACAGGTTCCTCAAGCATCCACATGGATTAGCATGAGGCAGAGCCCCCTGTACATTCTCTCCCCAGTCCCTCCCTTTTCCCTTCCATGTTATGCTTGTTAAGCATAACTGCTTAAAAATGCTTGTTGAATTGAATTATAGACTGAGCTGCATATAGCATCTTTGATCTAATATATCCTTCAAATACAGGGAATCCTGAAAGAGCTAGGATGCCAATAAGGACTCCCATGAAAATCTCTAAGCCTTAGCTCATGAATCTCACATGAGCAGATCTAATTCAGGCATGGAGAACTGGAAAAGCAGAGAGGTTGAGTCATTTGTCCCATCCAAGTGGCCCCATGAGCCAGGAGCTGCCACCAATCCTTTGCCATTCTTCTCCAGGCCCACAGTGGGCCCCAAGCAGTATATTATACCTATTGGCATATTATACCTATACCTATATACCAATATACCTATATTGGTCCCAGAGGCAAAGAAATATTTGTTTTATTTTTATTAATTCATTTTTAGTTTTCAACATTCACTTCTACAAGATTTTTGAGTTCCAATTTTTCTCCCCATCTTTCCCTTCCCCCACACCTAGATGGTGTGCATTCTGCATACCTTCCCCTAATCTGCCCTCCTTTCTATCACTCCTCCCCCCCTTCTCTTATCCCTTTCCCCTTCTATTTTCCTATAGGGCAGGACAGAGAAATATTTGCTTTAAAAAAGAAAGTATTAAAAACAATGGAGAGAAACAAACAAAAACCTGGTAGCATATAGTAAAAATGACGAAAGCAATCTGATGCAATATAAAGCTGGGGAGGGACCGCCATGGCCGGGGAGATCAATGGAGACAGTGCCGCATGCTGTAAATAGCTCAGAGATGTGATTATAGGCTGACGGTGTGGGGCTCAGGATTGCATTTCAGCAGTTAATTATGGAAGGTTACATTTATGGGTTGCAGCAAATCTGTTTCTGCTAAAACCTGAACAAAGCCACGATGCAGCTATGGCTGAGCAGGAAATACTCTACAAACTGTTCTGGAGTGGTTCCCTTGAGAGAGGTCAAGTTTGGAGTCTAAGCCCCAGAAGGGTGTAGTGGTAAGTGGAGGAACCCTTGCATTCAAGCCGGGCTCCACAAATCACTGCCGTAGTTAAATCTGACCATACCTCTTGGCCATCACTTTGCAATTTGCTGGGAGGAGTCTGAGACAAAAGATTGGAAAGAGACCTGCAAGAGACCTATGAACATTTAAAAATGCTTATTTTTAATGTCATCAAATGACATATGAATTAAGAAATAACTCTTATAGAAAATGCTTAGCATTTAAAAAGGTTTATCAACCCAGCAAACTAACAGGTAACTCATAGGAGCAACTAAGGTGACAACCATCTAGAATACAAGGAGCAGCGAGATGAACCACAGTATTCTTTCATATGTTTGGGGCTCGGTACAATGGAAGAAGAGCAGTTAGGGGGTGCCATAGTGCACAGAGCGCCAGTCCTGGAGTCAGGAAAACCCATCTTCTTGAGTTCAAATCTAACCTCAGACACTAAGTAGCTTAGCTGTGTGACCCTGGGCAAATCATTTAACTCTATTTGCCTCAGTTTCCTCATGTGTAAAATGAGCTGGAGAAGGAAATGGCAAACTACTCCAGTATGTTTGCCAAGAAAAGCCCAAATGGGGTCATGAAGAGCTGGACATGACTGAGCAATGTCACAATGGAAACAGCAGTGGTTCTGGAGCCATAAGAGCTGGGTTCAGATCCCACCTTTGACGCTTCTTAGCTGTGTGACCTTGGGGAAATCACTGAACCTCTCTGAAAGGCTGCATTTTCTTCATCTGTGAAATGATAGGATTGGACTCTGTGGTTTCTGAGGTGCCTTCCTCCTCCACATCTACGAATCTTGGATGATGGGCTGGACCAGAGAGACCAGAATGTATTTAGGAAGTTGTAAAATTCTTAAATGGCCCCAAATACCTCTCAGTAACCAAGGCCCATCTTTTAATTACCAACATTCTATTTTAAATACCAACATTCTCACAATAATTGTTATTTAAATAACATCATGCCTGTTGAATGGCTCTGGAGATTGGACGGATAACATGATATCACCTAGAGCAGAGTTGGCCAGTCTACAAAAACACTGGGTTGAATTCAAAAGGAATTGGGAAATGTTTAACAAAATAAATAGAAGTACAGCATGACAGAGATAATGTTAATTTGTGGTTTTCTAAGTCAATCTGCTGCCAGCAAGGATCTGTCTTTATTTGAGTTAGAGGATGACATAGAAGTACACGGTGGGGGTGAACAGGCTGCAATTTATTACACATGAGAAATTGTAAAGGAGATCTGGAGCAAAGCACATCAAAGAGCCGTACCCTGGGGATGTCATGAGACATGGAGGAAGGTCCCTGGCACATTGGAGAGGACCCTGTCCTCCATGATGAACTTAGTCTATGTAAGGACTCTGGAGATCGTTACCTGCACTCACATTCACACTGATGAGTCAAGTGCCTCCGAGTAAGGCTGCAGAGAAACCCTGGGTTTTAGGGGTATCTCTGAGGGGTTGGGGTGATTCTTCCTAATGTTAGTCTCAGCTCCCTCTCTGGTATGTTTGTCTCAATATAAATAGCCAGTGATTAGCACTCCTATTTTCTCTAACCAATTAATATCAATTAGCTTTTACAAAGGGATATTTCCTGAGAAAATAAAGGAGTCCCAAATTCCACACATATATCCCCAAACACCTAGGGGTACAACCCCCCATACTAATCAGTCCCTGGGAATCAAACTTAAAGCAGTTTCTATAAAACATTTGGTTCACCAAATTCACTTCCACACGTGGCATAGCAGATGACCTAGAGTGTTGACCACAAGGTCAAGTTGCTCCTGGGCTGAGTCCCAATCACTCCTTGGGGCTCTGCTGGTGGACAGCACACCCCGGTCAGAACTCTGTACCCAGACTTTTATTGGCTCCCTTCCCTGATCTTTCAAAGCTCATAAGGTCCCAGCCCAGTCTCAAGCTCCTTTACATAAAATTAGGAAAGGATCAATGATGAGACAGAGATAGAAGCAATTATCTTATGAGCCTGGCCAGGGAAATAAGGACTGTAACCTAGCACAGTTCTTTATCACCTGAGAGCAAAAACAAATAGACGCAACAGAGCAGAGGGGACAGGTCAGCCAGCTGATAACCACCACCTCTACCCCAGTCCCAGCAACAGCAGAGGCATGTGGCTTCATGATGGCTCTGGGTAGGAGGGGGCCCAAAGCACTTGCTTGCGCACACAGCCATGCTGAAAAGAGCCAAGGGGGAGAGCCTGGAAGTGGCCACCGGGAACCAGGAATTCCACCTCTCCAACCTTCAGGAGGATAAGAGAAAGTGAAGCCAGTGCTGGAGGGGTCGGAGTGGGGTTCTGTGTCATGAGGCGCCCCGTCTCAGGGAGAGCCAGAAGGTGGAAAGAGTGGGAGAGATTTCAGATGCAAGCAAACGTGTTGCCTACAGAGCAGGCATTCCAGAGGGCACAGTGGAAGGGGTGGGTGACCGTGGATCATTGGGATGACAGACCGGCTTGAGGAAAACAAAGGCAGGGCAGTGGGGGACGGAGAATGAGCTTTCGCGCTGACAGCCTGGAGCCCAGACTCCTTGGGATGGGGAGAGGGGTTTGTCGATCACTTCCCCCCCCCCCCCCCGCCCCATCCACCCAGTCTTGTTACCTGTTGACTCCTCCCCGGTCTTCCATACAAACAGCGTCGCTGGTCTGGTCCTCCTGTGACACCCTCCATTTCCAGACTCCGGACATTTCCCCTGGCTATGCCCCATGCCTAGAAGCTCCCTCCCCCTTCCTGGCAGCTAAAATCCTCCCTTCCTTAGGTGGGATCCCCCCCAATTCTAGTGCCTTCCCTCTGCTGACTATTTCGGATCTATCCTGTGCAAAGCTTGCCCGCTTTCTCCCTCATTAGGCTCCTCGAGGGCAGCGTCTGCCCCCGTTCCTGGTTCCCCTAGCATTTCACCCTGAACCTGGCATACAGTGGTGCTTACTCAATGTTTATCGACCAACAGGGTTTCAGCTTCCTGATATAAAAAGTGCGGGATCTCGGGCCTTTTGGGCTGAATCAGGGCCCTGGCAGGTTCTGGAGGGGCGGGTCCCGTGGGGTCAGGTGACCCGGGTCCAGCCCAGGCAGTCAGATCCCCCCACCTCCCCACCTCCCGGAGCGCCAGGCTCCGCCCCTCGACCTTCAGGGGGCGGGCTCGGCCCTGATTGACAGCCACACCCCTTCGCACGCCCCTCCTGCCGCCCTCCGTAAACAAACAGAAGAGACGCTGCAGAATCAGGGGCACGGGAAGGGCTGGGCGGGGCGCCTGCGGGCGAGGGGCGACGAGCGGGGGCGGAGCGCCTCTTGCCCCGCCCCGTCCCACGAGCGCGCTCTCTCATTGGTGCTCGGGCGGAGGCGTGCGGGGCGCGGCGGAGCGATTGGACGGCGCGGCTGCCGGTCGGCGGCGGTGACGGCAGGAGGCGCTGGTTCGGCCGCTCGCTAGCTCGCAGCATGGCAGCCGCGTTGGTGCTCCGGGGGGCGGCCGGCAGCCTGCTGGGCCGGGGTCGGCGGCGGGGTGCGGGCCAGGCCGGCCTCGCGGCGGGTAAGGGCCGGAGGGCCTCGCGGCAGCGCCAGGGCCAGGCCGGGCGGGCGGCTGGGCGGGGGCTGCGCGAGCCGGGCCCAGCTGACCCTCGAAGGGGGGTAGGGTCGGGGCCTCTGCCGGGCCGCTGTCACGGGCCCTTCCCTGCTCTGGGTGGGGGCGTCGAGTCGGAATTCGAACTCAGGACTCTGTTCCTGCTGCTGCCGTTCCCGTGAGGCGCGGGGGCCTTGAATGCCGGCACCACCGGACCCCAGGACCCCGGGGCTTCCAGGCCGAGAGCTGGGAGCCGCGTCAGTGATCCGGTCTAGTCAACAGAAGGGGAAACTGAGGCCCAGGGAGGGGAAGAACCCTACTTCATACGGGAGGGGACTCGGGACTCTGCAGGGGAGGAAACTGAGGCCCAGGCACAGCTCATTCCGTGTCTAGGGACGTGACAGCCGGGGCCGGTATGGATCAGCATGCATTAAGCGCCTGCTGTGTGCCAGGCTCCTTTCTGTGTTGCACATTTAGCCTAGATCGAGTGTCCAGGAGAGCAGCGGATAGTGCAGGCCACGTAGGGTAGAATGGTAGGGTAGGATGGCGTGGCCAGTGTCCTGGGCGACTGCACCTGTGGGGTGGACAAATCTGCCCCTCCCCCTTCCCTCCTCTCCCTCCTCTTCCTCCTCCTCCCTCCCCCCCATATCCAAAAACTGTGGCCTCCAACTGTTGTCCAAGGTTTCCATTTAAAACCCAACAGACAAACCCTTCTCTGGACCAGTCAGGGAAAGTTAATAATGAACTTTGCCTCTTCCCCTTATTTCATGTAATTAGTTAATTTGCTGGGCCTCTTCAAAATAAAAGTCTGCCAGTTAATGTTCTCTTAGGCCGAATGAGAGCTGCCATAAGGGAAGAGGACTTCCTCACTCCAGACACCCTGGTCAAGTGTCTTAACTTCTCAGGCGAGTCCCACACTTTGATTTTCAGAGTCAAGAAGACCCGAGTTCTGATCCTACCAAAGATGCTTGCTAGCTGTGTGACCCCCTGAAAGTCACTTAGTCTCTCCAGACCTCAGTTTCTTCATCTGTAAAGTGAGGGCCTTGGCCTCAGTGGCCCTTCAGTCCCTTCCAGCTCTATATCTGTGGTGTTGTGATCTTTATTTTTGGGCACAACACTGTCAGCCTCTTATGCCTTACCCCTTTTACCTAGGAAAACCCATAGGCAATGAACTTTCCCGTACTTATCAGGAGGCAGAAGCCGGGTTAAAAACCTCAGTGCTAAGAAATACATTCTCAGATTCTGTCTACATTCAGAGTAGTAATCCACATTGGGAGAACATAAAAAATATTACTTATTTTGATCCATCCTTCCTTCTTTTTTCCTTCCTTTCTTCTTCACCAGTTCATAGTAGAATGTGTGTGGGAGGTATTTCCCTTTTATGAGTCATGAAAGTTCCTATAAATTACGGGTGGAAATTCTGGGGTCTGAGGCTGTAACATCAATAGGAAGAGATCAATTAGTCAGTCAACCAGAGGCCCTGGAGATACAAGTACAAAGAATGAGCCGAGGATAAGAGTCTTCTGTTTATAACATGCCTACCTTTTTACATACATTCTTATATTTTGGGCTCTTTGGCTCAACAGAAAGTACTACTGTAATGATGTACTGTTACCATTTTAAGTACAGCTTTACTTTGGGGGGATTTATGGAAATAATTGTTTTTGAAGTCAGTAACGATTGATTTTTTTTACATTGTCATTTCTATTTGATGTGACATTTTACTGTCCTACTTTGAGTTTAGTAGAAAAAATAGATTTAAATTTGATATAATTGCAAAAAGTAAAGACATATACCCATAATTTGTTGAGAATCTTAGGGATTTTAAGAAAACAAGTGACACGTTGAAGAGCCATTATTTCAATGTTTAATATTACTTAATTGTGTAGTGTTGTCCAGTGTTCTGTAAAGGATATTTACTATCATAGAATATTATGTGTATATCATCACTGATGTAATAAAATTTGACAGTTAAAAATCTGTCCACTTCAAGTTTTAGGTTATGGTATGAAGATATTTAAAATAGCAATGGTTGTTTGAAAAAATAACCAGCGTAAAATAATGTATCTTGTTAAGCATTTATGGAAGGTGAGTTTTATGCCTTGCCCAAAAATGGAGTTAAGTGGTTTCTTGTTAGCCATGGCAAAGGGAATTCCAAAGATGGATGTTTTTTTCCCAGAAAATGACTGGCTGCTGATCCATCAGCATAGACATGGGAAACATCATTAGCGTTAAATGGTGTTAATCAAGATGACCAGCTTACCTAAGGTCGGAACCCAGAATTGCTAGGGGATTTTACAAAGGATATATGTCTGCTTTTGAGAAACTTTTAATACTTAATTCCTCATTCAAGAAAATGTTCAGTCTTTCATTTCTTAATTTGTGGTCAGAATTTGTTTTCAAGAGATAATACTTTTAATTATACCATCACAGTTTGTGATGACACTCTCCCAGTCCCTCAGTCAACAAGCATTTATTAAGTGCCTACTGTGTGCCAGACACTGTATTAGGTGCTGGAGATGCAAAAAGAAAAGAAAAGAAGAGATGTGTAAATACACATATACAGGATAAATCTCTCGAGAATGAATACAAGGTGGTTAGAAAGGGAGAGGTTGTTGGAGGTTGAGGGGATTCGGTTTCAGGTACAGGGAATTCTAGGACTTGCAGATGGGACTGTCGTCCATTCCGGGCAGAGCCTGGAGGTGGGAATGCTGTGTGTGAGGACAGAGAGGAGGTGAGTTTGGCCTCATGCAGGACTGGGAATGGGAATGATCTGGGAGGAAGTTGGAGAGAGAGGTTGGGGCCAGATGGTGAAGGGCTTAAAATGCCAAGCAAATGGGGAGCCTGTGGAGCCATGGGGAGTTATTGTAGGAGATGACCTGGTCAGACCTTGGTGGCCGTGTTGAGGAGGGCTTATCGTTGGGGGAGACCAGTTGGGAGACGATTGTAGTCAGAGGTGATGAGGCCTGTGCTGGGGGTAGGAGCCGTGAGTAGAGAGGGGTGCTGGGGATGTGGAAAGAGCAAGATACAGATATGTGGGGTGAGGGAAAGGGAAGAGCCTGGATGACAGCGAGGTTGGAGGCCTGCTCAGGAGGTTTTGAATGTGCTGAGTTGGAGGTGTCCCACAGGCATTTGGTAATACAGAATTCTGGCTCAGGAGAGAGATGAGATGGCCAGGCAAACCTGGGGAGCTGAGGAGGTCAGTGGGCGAGAGAGTAGAGAAGGTTGGACAACATCCTTGTGGGGCTCCTAATTACTTGTAGAATAAAGCCCTGACTCCTTGCTCTGCATTCTGGGCCTTCCTTGTTTTTGTGGCAGCCTCTGTTGTCCCCCTGTAGGTGTGCTGTGATCCCCGAAGCTGGCCTGCTGCTTCTTCTGCCCCCTGGGCTTTTCTGGGTAGACAGGTCTTCACCCTTGTCCGTGGTGTGCTTTCTGCCTGGAATCCTTCCCATTCCCTCCTGTGAGGGGAGTCAGCTCCTCGAGGGCACAGGCTGTTTCAGCTTCGGCTTGGGATCCTCAGCACCCTGCCAGTGCCTGGCACAGAGTCTGGCCCAGTTCCGGTGCCCCCTCCTTAGGGAAACCCTCCCTCAGATCCTCTCTTCCTCCTTTGCCCTTCCATGTCATCTGTCTGGCATTCGCTGATTCAGCAAGTGTGTGTATGTGCTGGGCACCTTTTCTGTTAGTTATTGGAGTGTTTGTCTTTGCTACCGCTCCCCTCACAGGGTGGTTGGGAGGCAAGTGCTTTGTAAAACTTAGTGCCCTGTGTGAATTGAATTATGAATTATTACTCAGTTTCCTGTGTGAATGTGAATGATGACTGTCATTATCACTAGGTTATGAACCTCTTGAGGGCAGGGACTGTTTGATTGATCTTTCACCCCCCATACTGCCTAGCTTTATACTATCATGCCCTTAAGAATATTAAAAAACCCTCTAAATTAGGGTCCACACAGCTTACTCATGCCAGATTCTAAACTTTCTCTTTCCTGTGCATAATTTGCCATAATCGATCTGGCCCAATGACATGTGTCTGATTATTATAATTAAGTCAGCGGCATTAGTGTCAAGGAAGTTTGGATTAACAGACTATGCTTCTCATTAAGTGACTCATAAAAAGAAAATAACGTCAAATTAAGCAGCATAGAAAGCATAATGTGTCCCTTAGCATCTTGTGTCCCTTTTTTCTTCTGAAGAAGCTTGTGATTATTATTGGACTGAAATATTGAAGCCAAAGGCCTTTAGGACACTTGATAACTTTAAATTGGCACTGAAGGCCCACCGGTCCAGACTGACACACCTCACTGCCTCCTGAGGAGTTGGGCTTCAGGCACAGATGTTAGAATGATGAAAGCTTACTGCCCTAAGGAGGTCTCTTGGTGCAGTGCTTCAAAGCAGAGGCCATCTAGAGAATTTGTCTTTAGGAAATGTCGTTTAATGTTGAAGGTGGAGTTGAATGAGTGAATGGAAAAGCATTTTTCCAACATATTTTTATTTATTTCGTTAAATATTTCCCAATCATGTGTAAAAAACTTTTAACACTCATTCAAAAAA